ACGAAAAGAACCGAGTCGAATTAATTAAGTCGGAAAAAAGAAAGTGTGCATTATAATCGTGAAAATGCGAGTATTGTATTAATCTTTAAATACTGGTGTTAAATCTGTCCTATAATATCATGACGACTTCTGTAAATCGAGTTATCCGATAAGAATAAAATACAATACCAATATAGCTCTATCGTTGAAAAAATTCGCTTATTTTTGCTCACCTCAAGTTTTGTTTAGTAGAAATGGCTAAAAAGTGTGCAAAATACGTACGGAAATAAGGTATTACAGCACCACCTGTATTGGACGACCACCTGTCTAAAAGACCACTTTTTGAAGGAACCGTGGGTGGTCGCCATAGACAGGTTTTACTGTATAACTTTCTTATTTTTCATCTCCGGTCCAAAAGTAGGGTACCGTTGAACTCATCTTGGTCTCCTCAGTTCAAACATATACTCAGAGTCCTGAAATTCCATAGGTGGTAATCTACAGTACAGCCAAAGTTTTAATATTATCATCATAAACTGATAATACTTTTGGTTTGATAAAATTAGAGGCTAATAGTTTAATAAAACAAACATTTTCTATGTAAAGATGAGATATTAAAGACTTTTTGGATTGGAAGAAGGCATTAAACTCATTGAATAAATAAAAATATATATTTATAAAATAATAGAAAAGCTCTAACATACGGATTCTGCATTTGATTAAAAATAAACTGACATTGTTGATTTGTTTCTTCAAATTCTGCGACTTGAAAAACTTCAAACAACACATCCCATTGATCTATTACACACAATCTACACATGTTGATAATGCTAGCCATTGTGTTTTGCTGGAACTTATAATTTTAAGCTGTGACTTTTTCGTATAATCTTGGAATTCAAACAGTATTGATTGTCGCTTTGGACTTTGAGGAAAATATGTATATAAACTTTGCAGTAAATTTTCAATATTAGATGGTATCTCATCAGCAGCACTAATAGCTACTAGGTGCACACTATGAAAAATGCAAGAATTTATTATTACATTATTATTATTTGCTAACAAGTGAGTTTTAAAAGATTCTTTGTCTCTCATCATTACATTTGCATTGTCTGAACAATATCCTACTATTTGACTTTCGTTTATCTGATATGCTTGCAAAACTTTTTAAAATAAAGAATATAAACTTATAATAAAGAATATTCCTTTTGCTGTATCACTATCAGAATCAACATGGACAATATCTAAGAAATTTGTTTTTACTGATTATTAAAAAATATTTGACAAGAATAAACATTGATTGGAAATATCTGTGCTTTAGTCTAACAGAACAGAAATTTTTTTATTTTGCAAATTATTTTTTAAATTTTTTCTTATAGTGGCACCAAAAACGTTTTCAATTAAACTCGTACATTTTGTCTGTTTTAATTCCATTTGCTTTGCTGTGTCAGAATCATCAAAACAAATTTTTACCAACTTTGACAATGTGATCAATAGATTGGAAACTGAAATTACGTGAAGCAACTAATAAAGAGTACTGTAATTCTGCAATAACCTTTTTCAAAGATTTAGATATAAAAAATGACTGAGAAATATCTGCACCTTGATGCATTTTGTTGGTGCTTATTACTTTTACAATGTTTCACTAAATCAAATTTTTTTGAATTTAGAATTACATTACAAAATTTATATTTACCATCTTCTGATTCTGCTAGCCATTTAGAAAATTGTGCATCTTTCATCCACTTTTTTGTGAATTTCTGCTTTCTGTACTTGTTTGTTGCCTGTTCAGAAATTCCCAATTTAGCCTTTCTAGTATATTGACTAAGTTCCTTGTCCGATGAAGTGTCACTTTTCTCTTTTTCTGTATCATCTTTTGCACTGCTAGGGCCAGGTTGCAGTTCTGAACTAATGTTTTTGGAGAAAAATGTCAATAATGTTGACTTTTTACTAGATTTATCCATTTGAATTGAAGTAATACTGAATATGTTTTATTAAACAGTTTAAAGATCAGTTACTAAATGAAAATCACTTTTTTAAACTTGATGTTGCTAATTCAGAAAAATTATAATAAAAAATAACACTTGAAAAAATAAAAGAAAATATTACATAGGTATACCAGCAGCGGATCAAGTCAAGTGGGGGCCCAAGTGGTAAAAATTTTGGGGACCTCAAACTTAAGTTAGAAAAAAAGTTTCAAGATAACTTTCATTAAGTTATTAACATAAAAGAAAAGCAATCAAAAATTTCATACCTAACACATTAAATTTATTTTTAAAAAAAACATTTTTTACATAAATTGCCGTCTTGTTTTACGGCCCACCAGTGGCCAAGCATTTCGATTTCTTGAACACTGGGAGTTTTGGGGACCTCGAACTTAAGTTAGAAAAAAAAAGTTTTAAGATGGTGGCACATGAAAAATTCCCTGAGCAGATTAATTTTTTTACAAAATGTTACTTTTACAGATTTCAATCTCTGCATACTGCACACCGAACGGTCATGGATTCGTGCCTGGCCAGGATGGGCTAGCCATGTGAAGTTTTACAGGTTTTCTCCTTGTCTGTAACACCTAAGTAGAGGCCAGTTACCCTTAAAAAGACCCTGGAAAGCATTCCCCCTAAGCAGATCGCCCAAGTGTTGAGTTACCAAAACTTAACTAAACAAACCGTCTTGTTTTATTTTTTTGAAAGTTGTCAATTATTTTGGGAGTATCAATTCAATTAAATTCCTGCTCTATATACAGAATGGCCATGTTATTTAATCTTTCGTCTCCCATAGTACTCCTTAAATAATTTTTACCTGCTTTAAAACAGAAGACCTTTCTCCTGACGCATTAGATGAAAGAATTATTTTAAAAATTTTTAATAATATTTCAACATTTGGAAATGTGCAAGACATTTCTTTGGTTCAGACAATGCAACTGAGGTATATACCAAATATGCATAAAACTATAAAGCAGAAAATATCATAGAATTACTGCACGCCTTTTATAACCTTGGGACTAAGATTTTATTCTGAAGTTACCACATTTTCGATTTAGCAATCTGAAAAATTCCCTGGGCAGATTTATTTTTCTTACAAAATGTTACTTTTACAGATTTCTAGCTCTGCACACTATAAAAATCTAGAAATACAGTTTTGTCTATAGTCATAATATTAGTTGTTGCCAGATTTTTCTCTACTTTATAGTAGAGAAAAATCTGTAAATTTGAAAACTATAAAAATTAATTTATATTTCTCAAAAATAAATTTCAAAATTTCAAAAGTCACTAGTTTTGGCTGATTTGTTTGCGGTCACCACTACATCGCTACATCCCTGTAAAAGTTGCTATTGTGGCGACAAGTCACCATGGTTGGGAACACTGACCAAGCTTTAAGTTGTGACAAGTGACAAATTTCTTTGGACTACACATGCAAGATTATCTCAGCTGCTTCATGTTCTCTTCAGGAAGCCAATCTGGTAATGTGCACACTTCCTATTTCTTTAAACTGATCAAACTATTGAATTACAGTCTTGTCTGTAAGCACATCTTGAACATAAATTAGGCAACATTGATGTTGCACTGGTGTGACTGATTTAAACTTAAAATATCACAACACAATGCTTTCTGTTGCACAGTTGCTATTATACTGACTGAGCTGACTTGCAGTAGTCATTGCACTTAGTATGTACTACTGTACATACTAAGCGCAATATGTACTACTGTATGTACTACTGTACATACTAAGTGACCAAAAAGAAAACTCAATTTTTTCACACAGTTTAATAAAACAATCAGTGATTGACATTATTACCTAAGATATTTGACATTGAAATTTCAGACACTTTTTTCAATAATCCTATATATATAGATCCAATTGATTAAACTGATTGATTATATACCAGTTCTTTTCAATTGCATCTGTGTCCAAAATAACTTCTTGATTCATAAATTGAACATAAAATTCAATTTATAGTAAAAAAAAATCCATGTTATTACTGAAAAATTTTTTCAATAATTTTTCAATTAATTTTCCCATTTTTAACTTTTCATTTGATAGTTCAGCACTTCAAGCAACCTTTACAGCTCCAGTGGTATGTGTTTACACCTTAGCAAACGTTTTCAACCTCATCGAGGTCTTCATCAGGCTACTTTAATTAGGAATTCTAACGTGTTTGGAACAGAATGTATACAATTCAAAATTTAAACACATACCACTGGAGTTGTAAAGGTTGTTTGAAGTGCTGAATTGTAACTCCTCTAGTGTTGGAAGACGTTTATTTCTCATTTGATAGTCTTCAAACATGAAAAAGTGAAATATAGTAGTTATACAAATAAAACAAATAAAATATAAAGAGATTTATTTTAAAAATGCATTTCTTTACTAAATCTTTGAACTGTTGTTTTTATTAATATAAACAAAATCTTATGTTTATTTAATCTTTTTAGTATTTCAGCTAATTTAATAACAATACTATAAAATGATACAAAAACTGCTACTACAAAATTCATAAAATGTATAAATACATTTCTATAAAAAGGTCTTGTAAATTTCTATTAGCTATTTAATAATTAGTGATAAAAGAGCAAAAGTTATTCTAGTATTCTTACATTTTCAATAAATTATATTATTTCTAAATCAAAATGATCAATACTCACCCATTTTCACTCTCATTACTTGAGTATGTTCGACCTTTAGGACAATAGCATGTAACTGCATCACAACGAGAATATGAAAATAATAAATCACTATAAGCATTTTCCTCCAGTTCCCATGAAGCATCCCTAAATTTAAAATTTAACCATTATATATTATTCAAAATAAAATAAAATTATTATTAATCAAATTTTCATTTAAAAAATCTCATCAAATTTTATGAAATATATTAGAAATTTACCTTGAAGGAATGTAAATTCCTTGTTTTTTCATTGCTTCCACAAATAAATCAACATTGTTGCAGAGAGGGCATTTAAAAAAATATCCAGTGCTCAAAGCTAATTTCTAATATGAAATGATTTTATATCAAAAATTTATAGCACTACTTTTATGTTTTTAAACTTTAATTAAATCTAGGGCTATTAACTTATTTTCATCAGAATATATTCTACAATTTAACTTTTCAGTTTTATAATTTTTAAAATAAGTACAAAATAAAATCATCAAAATTGCTTAAAATAATTACATAAATTTAAATTTTATTTTTAAAATATACACAGTTTTATAGTTTAATGACTTATCAGTTAATTATAAATCATTGAACTATAAAGTTGCGAATANTTGCTATGGATGTCTGCCTACTGCAGTTCAGCCACAATCCGCTACAGTTTGCCTTTATTATCAGTTTGAAATGGAGGGGTTCTATAATACCTGCAGGGTTCCATAATACCATCTTTTCCTCCAACACCTATAGAATTTCGGGACTTTGAGTATATATCTGAACCTGAGGGGAACCAAGACGAGTTCAATGATATCTACTTTTGGACCGGAGATGAAAAATAAGAAAGTTATCACATTTTTTCCCGGCAATCGCTCAATGATCGGGAGTCACATCGTTCTCTCCGCTCTCCTATCACGTGTTTAATAGGTAGTCTGACAAGTCGGCCATATATACCTTCAACAGAGACAGATGTTGATCCACAAACACACTGATCGTCTGCAGTTGGAGTTAAGTCCTTTTCACACACCCCTGTGCTCCTCGACCTTGGGGCCTATGGCCCCTCAGCTGCCGACACGCTTGCTATCGTGGCTTGTCCAACAAACCTAACCTATCCCTCCGGGAGATGACTGTCACCGTTAGGTGGTGGAAAAATCTGAAATGGCGTGGAATGCACTGTGAAAGGCAAGCAATCATAAATACAGTGAAAACTGCTTAGGCAACCACCTGCATTCGACGGGCACCTGCCAAAATGGGCAAAAATTTCTGGCACGGAATAGTTTATCCATAGAGTCTTCGTATAAGTTACCTGTATTAAACTACCACCTGCATAACGCGACCGCAGGCATCGATTTTTGGTCTGAAACAACATACAGCACCTGTAATAAGCGACCACTTTCACGAATGTATCTGGTCTAAACTATTGTAAGAACCCATCTCAACAACGTTTCCACCTCTTAATATAATGAATTAGTCTAAACTCTCGTTCGAACCCATCCCGGGCACATCTCCCACCCTTGAAATTAGGTGCAGGTGTTAATAAATTAGTCTAGCAACAAAGGAAATTCATTTCAGTTTGTTGGAAAATGTCCGAAATGCAAAGTGCTGTCGTTAGAAGATCGTATTAAAGTTATCACAACAGCAATTAGCGGCGAAGTTTAACTGTGGGAAAACAAAATTTATTTTACCCTAGACCTACAGTATTTTCCTTGGGGGTGTAAAATATTGTACACGATACAATTAATCGGCTGATCTCATCGTTTGATAAAATCTATTTTTATTTATTTATTTTGAAGCTCATATACAGTACACGTGCGATAAATAGTTTCTGTATCAACCTACCTTATTTCCACGATATTTTTAGAAAAATAATATCCAAGTAATTTTCGCAGGCAAAATATTCAAAAAACAATAAACGCATTAATGCAAAAATCAGTTTTACTTCCTTTTTCGATTCCGCGATTGTAATGAAATCGTATAATGAGAAAAAATAATAAAATCGTTTTATTATTAATTAATAATTTTTCTTATTGTACTTAATTAATTAAGAAAATATTAAATATTAAAAAATACAGTATTTTTAAAGTTAAAATAAGATTAAACTAACGAAAACCAAAAGCAAAGTGATGGAGAGATACGACGCGCACGTATATTGATGACGTAATACACGTAACTGAGGAGCGAACGAAAAGAACCGAGTCGAATTAATTAAGTCGGAAAAAAGAAAGTGTGCATTATAATCGTGAAAATGCGAGTATTGTATTAATCTTTAAATACTGGTGTTAAATCTGTCCTATAATATCACGACGACTTCTGTAAATCGAGTTATCCGATAAGAATAAAATACAATACCAATATAGCTCTATCGTTGAAAAAATTCGCTTATTTTTGCTCACCTCAAGTTTTGTTTAGTAGAAATGGCTAAAAAGTGTGCAAAATACGTACGGAAATAAGGTATTACAGCACCACCTGTATTGGACGACCACCTGTCTAAAAGACCACTTTTTGAAGGAACCGTGGGTGGTCGCCATAGACAGGTTTTACTGTATAACTTTCTTATTTTTCATCTCCGGTCCAAAAGTAGGGTACCGTTGAACTCATCTTGGTCTCCTCAGTTCAAACATATACTCAGAGTCCTGAAATTCCATAGGTGGTAATCTACAGTACAGCCAAAGTTTTAATATTATCATCATAAACTGATAATACTTTTGGTTTGATAAAATTAGAGGCTAATAGTTTAATAAAACAAACATTTTCTATGTAAAGATGAGATATTAAAGACTTTTTGGATTGGAAGAAGGCATTAAACTCATTGAATAAATAAAAATATATATTTATAAAATAATAGAAAAGCTCTAACATACGGATTCTGCATTTGATTAAAAATAAACTGACATTGTTGATTTGTTTCTTCAAATTCTGCGACTTGAAAAACTTCAAACAACACATCCCATTGATCTATTACACACAATCTACACATGTTGATAATGCTAGCCATTGTGTTTTGCTGGAACTTATAATTTTAAGCTGTGACTTTTTCGTATAATCTTGGAATTCAAACAGTATTGATTGTCGCTTTGGACTTTGAGGAAAATATGTATATAAACTTTGCAGTAAATTTTCAATATTAGATGGTATCTCATCAGCAGCACTAATAGCTACTAGGTGCACACTATGAAAAATGCAAGAATTTATTATTACATTATTATTATTTGCTAACAAGTGAGTTTTAAAAGATTCTTTGTCTCTCATCATTACATTTGCATTGTCTGAACAATATCCTACTATTTGACTTTCGTTTATCTGATATGCTTGCAAAACTTTTTAAAATAAAGAATATAAACTTATAATAAAGAATATTCCTTTTGCTGTATCACTATCAGAATCAACATGGACAATATCTAAGAAATTTGTTTTTACTGATTATTAAAAAATATTTGACAAGAATAAACATTGATTGGAAATATCTGTGCTTTAGTCTAACAGAACAGAAATTTTTTTATTTTGCAAATTATTTTTTAAATTTTTTCTTATAGTGGCACCAAAAACGTTTTCAATTAAACTCGTACATTTTGTCTGTTTTAATTCCATTTGCTTTGCTGTGTCAGAATCATCAAAACAAATTTTTACCAACTTTGACAATGTGATCAATAGATTGGAAACTGAAATTACGTGAAGCAACTAATAAAGAGTACTGTAATTCTGCAATAACCTTTTTCAAAGATTTAGATATAAAAAATGACTGAGAAATATCTGCACCTTGATGCATTTTGTTGGTGCTTATTACTTTTACAATGTTTCACTAAATCAAATTTTTTTGAATTTAGAATTACATTACAAAATTTATATTTACCATCTTCTGATTCTGCTAGCCATTTAGAAAATTGTGCATCTTTCATCCACTTTTTTGTGAATTTCTGCTTTCTGTACTTGTTTGTTGCCTGTTCAGAAATTCCCAATTTAGCCTTTCTAGTATATTGACTAAGTTCCTTGTCCGATGAAGTGTCACTTTTCTCTTTTTCTGTATCATCTTTTGCACTGCTAGGGCCAGGTTGCAGTTCTGAACTAATGTTTTTGGAGAAAAATGTCAATAATGTTGACTTTTTACTAGATTTATCCATTTGAATTGAAGTAATACTGAATATGTTTTATTAAACAGTTTAAAGATCAGTTACTAAATGAAAATCACTTTTTTAAACTTGATGTTGCTAATTCAGAAAAATTATAATAAAAAATAACACTTGAAAAAATAAAAGAAAATATTACATAGGTATACCAGCAGCGGATCAAGTCAAGTGGGGGCCCAAGTGGTAAAAATTTTGGGGACCTCAAACTTAAGTTAGAAAAAAAGTTTCAAGATAACTTTCATTAAGTTATTAACATAAAAGAAAAGCAATCAAAAATTTCATACCTAACACATTAAATTTATTTTTAAAAAAAACATTTTTTACATAAATTGCCGTCTTGTTTTACGGCCCACCAGTGGCCAAGCATTTCGATTTCTTGAACACTGGGAGTTTTGGGGACCTCGAACTTAAGTTAGAAAAAAAAAGTTTTAAGATGGTGGCACATGAAAAATTCCCTGAGCAGATTAATTTTTTTACAAAATGTTACTTTTACAGATTTCAATCTCTGCATACTGCACACCGAACGGTCATGGATTCGTGCCTGGCCAGGATGGGCTAGCCATGTGAAGTTTTACAGGTTTTCTCCTTGTCTGTAACACCTAAGTAGAGGCCAGTTACCCTTAAAAAGACCCTGGAAAGCATTCCCCCTAAGCAGATCGCCCAAGTGTTGAGTTACCAAAACTTAACTAAACAAACCGTCTTGTTTTATTTTTTTGAAAGTTGTCAATTATTTTGGGAGTATCAATTCAATTAAATTCCTGCTCTATATACAGAATGGCCATGTTATTTAATCTTTCGTCTCCCATAGTACTCCTTAAATAATTTTTACCTGCTTTAAAACAGAAGACCTTTCTCCTGACGCATTAGATGAAAGAATTATTTTAAAAATTTTTAATAATATTTCAACATTTGGAAATGTGCAAGACATTTCTTTGGTTCAGACAATGCAACTGAGGTATATACCAAATATGCATAAAACTATAAAGCAGAAAATATCATAGAATTACTGCACGCCTTTTATAACCTTGGGACTAAGATTTTATTCTGAAGTTACCACATTTTCGATTTAGCAATCTGAAAAATTCCCTGGGCAGATTTATTTTTCTTACAAAATGTTACTTTTACAGATTTCTAGCTCTGCACACTATAAAAATCTAGAAATACAGTTTTGTCTATAGTCATAATATTAGTTGTTGCCAGATTTTTCTCTACTTTATAGTAGAGAAAAATCTGTAAATTTGAAAACTATAAAAATTAATTTATATTTCTCAAAAATAAATTTCAAAATTTCAAAAGTCACTAGTTTTGGCTGATTTGTTTGCGGTCACCACTACATCGCTACATCCCTGTAAAAGTTGCTATTGTGGCGACAAGTCACCATGGTTGGGAACACTGACCAAGCTTTAAGTTGTGACAAGTGACAAATTTCTTTGGACTACACATGCAAGATTATCTCAGCTGCTTCATGTTCTCTTCAGGAAGCCAATCTGGTAATGTGCACACTTCCTATTTCTTTAAACTGATCAAACTATTGAATTACAGTCTTGTCTGTAAGCACATCTTGAACATAAATTAGGCAACATTGATGTTGCACTGGTGTGACTGATTTAAACTTAAAATATCACAACACAATGCTTTCTGTTGTACAGTTGCTATTATACTGACTGAGCTGACTTGCAGTAGTCATTGCACTTAGTATGTACTACTGTACATACTAAGCGCAATATGTACTACTGTATGTACTACTGTACATACTAAGTGACCAAAAAGAAAACTCAATTTTTTCACACAGTTTAATAAAACAATCAGTGATTGACATTATTACCTAAGATATTTGACATTGAAATTTCAGACACTTTTTTCAATAATCCTATATATATAGATCCAATTGATTAAACTGATTGATTATATACCAGTTCTTTTCAATTGCATCTGTGTCCAAAATAACTTCTTGATTCATAAATTGAACATAAAATTCAATTTATAGTAAAAAAAAATCCATAAGTTATTACTGAAAAATTTTTTCAATAATTTTTCAATTAATTTTCCCATTTTTAACTTTTCATTTGATAGTTCAGCACTTCAAGCAACCTTTACAGCTCCAGTGGTATGTGTTTACACCTTAGCAAACGTTTTCAACCTCATCGAGGTCTTCATCAGGCTACTTTAATTAGGAATTCTAACGTGTTTGGAACAGAATGTATACAATTCAAAATTTAAACACATACCACTGGAGTTGTAAAGGTTGTTTGAAGTGCTGAATTGTAACTCCTCTAGTGTTGGAAGACGTTTATTTCTCATTTGATAGTCTTCAAACATGAAAAAGTGAAATATAGTAGTTATACAAATAAAACAAATAAAATATAAAGAGATTTATTTTAAAAATGCATTTCTTTACTAAATCTTTGAACTGTTGTTTTTATTAATATAAACAAAATCTTATGTTTATTTAATCTTTTTAGTATTTCAGCTAATTTAATAACAATACTATAAAATGATACAAAAACTGCTACTACAAAATTCATAAAATGTATAAATACATTTCTATAAAAAGGTCTTGTAAATTTCTATTAGCTATTTAATAATTAGTGATAAAAGAGCAAAAGTTATTCTAGTATTCTTACATTTTCAATAAATTATATTATTTCTAAATCAAAATGATCAATACTCACCCATTTTCACTCTCATTACTTGAGTATGTTCGACCTTTAGGACAATAGCATGTAACTGCATCACAACGAGAATATGAAAATAATAAATCACTATAAGCATTTTCCTCCAGTTCCCATGAAGCATCCCTAAATTTAAAATTTAACCATTATATATTATTCAAAATAAAATAAAATTATTATTAATCAAATTTTCATTTAAAAAATCTCATCAAATTTTATGAAATATATTAGAAATTTACCTTGAAGGAATGTAAATTCCTTGTTTTTTCATTGCTTCCACAAATAAATCAACATTGTTGCAGAGAGGGCATTTAAAAAAATATCCAGTGCTCAAAGCTAATTTCTAATATGAAATGATTTTATATCAAAAATTTATAGCACTACTTTTATGTTTTTAAACTTTAATTAAATCTAGGGCTATTAACTTATTTTCATCAGAATATATTCTACAATTTAACTTTTCAGTTTTATAATTTTTAAAATAAGTACAAAATAAAATCATCAAAATTGCTTAAAATAATTACATAAATTTAAATTTTATTTTTAAAATATACACAGTTTTATAGTTTAATGACTTATCAGTTAATTATAAATCATTGAACTATAAAGTTGCGAATATTGTGCGTAGTAGATTGTACAATGTACATAGAATATTGTACATTGATGCATAACTGACTTTTTTCTTCTAGACCTGATTCAATTACAAATTATTATTATTATTATTATTAACTGCATAAAAAATCAGAAACATAAAACAAACAAAAGAAAAAAAAACAAATGAATATTTCAATACAAAATTGATTAATTAAAATTTTTTCTGAGATTTTTAACAATAGTAATTCAATAAATTCCAAAAATAAAATGAATTAGTGTTTTAAATAGTGATAAAACATCAATATCAAACATTTTTGAAATTATATATTATTTTATTGTCAAAAGTATGACATTAAATAATATCAGACAGAAGTTACAGATATTAGAGAGGTTGAGGCGCACGTTTTAAACGTGTAAACGTGTACGTGTGACGTTCGGCGCCGCTTTCCCGTAAGCCTAAAAGTTTGACAATGGTGTTTGGATAGTCGGTGGAATCACGCTCGGCATTCCAAACACCATCGTCAAACTTTTAGGCTTATGGGAAAGCGGCGCCGAACGTCACACGTACATGTTTACACGTTTAAAACGTGCGCCTCAACCTCTCTATTATTTAAATCATAAAGTAAACATTTAAATTCTAAAAATAAATTTTAAAAATTTCAGAAAAAATATGGTTAAAATCTTCAAAGTCCAGATTTTATTGAGATAAAAAGTTTTTGAGAGTTTAAAGTCTCACCTTCAGATCAGAACATAAAGAATACAAGGTTATTCAGAAAGAATTCCATGGTTTTGTGATTTTGTGGGAGATGTATGGAACATATCATCATTATATGAGTGTACTGTACATTTGTACCTTCTAAAATGTACCTATTTGTACCATTTCTACTTCCATAAGTTTTTATGAGAATACTCTCATACACCACTGGTTCTACTCTTCACAACTGAGATTGTGCAATGCAACAAGATGGCATTCCAGAAATCTGTATGCAGTTCTTGAACACAAGCATGATTCACCAAACCTGAACATTTTCTATGCAGTGTCACAAGCTAATGTGTATGGCCTATTCTTCTTCATGGAAACCATAGTCAGAGACATCAAGTTTCTCAATATATTGCAACATTGGCTCATGCCTCAGCGACAGACTGACAGCAATGAGTTCATTTACCAACAGGATGAACCCCTCTACACTTTTACCATCCAGTACAAGAGCCATTACAACTGACAATTAGCCAACCCCTTTTGCAGAGATGAATCAGATGTGTGACAGCAGAGGATAAGACATTGATGGTGTGGACCCTCAGATCTTCCAATCTAACATTCCATGATTCCTTCTTGGGGGCTATATGAAAGATCACATCTATATGCTGCCATTAACAGCCATTTTGAATGAACTCCAAGTTTGCATTAACACTGCAATCACCCCATTGACTTGGACATGCTGCTCCGTGTTTGGGGTGAATTAGAATATCACATTGATATTTATCATGTCACTCAAGCAAGTCATGTATAGCATCTCTAACTGTCTCAAAAGAAAAGCTTTCAGAGTTTTTCTAGAAATCTGTATGTTAGTATTAGTTTGCAATAAACAGAATAATTTTTTTAAAATCAGGTCATTCTTTTAAAATAATCCTATATGAATAACATACATCAATCAAGTGAAGAACAGATTCAAACCAACATCATTTAAATTAAGCTCACATTCAAAAATAAGCTATAAAATTAGTTAAAAATAATTTTAAATATAATTTCCTGAGAATATCTGAGAATTATCTGTTTTCTAAAGTAAATCTGAAAAGAGGTGTGGGTTTTGTGTTCTAGCAATTTTTGTGAATTGTGATATGCAGTGTAGGTTACACAGAAGAAATTATAGTAATTTTTAACTAATTTTAAATATTTGAATCTGAAGATGAGACTTTAGCTTTAAAAACTGTTTTATTGTAATAAAAATTAAATTCCTGAAAAGTATTTATTCATATATTTTTTGTAGATTTTAACATGAATGATATCAATTATCAACAAACAGACAGAAATAAAAACAACTGATTTTAAAATCAAAATTTAGAGTATACTGTATATAATTTATACACTCATGTCCAAAAAGTAAGTACTGTATAATTGTCCAATTCATAGATAAAGTAAAAAAATAAACAAAATAATCAGCAGAAAATTTTTATGAACATTTCCAGATAATAACAATATCCAGGACATTGTGAAAGATTCCATTAAAAACCACAAGTTTATGTAAAATATACAGGTTCAATAAATATAGCAGTAGCATGACATTATTTCTGATGTGATTTAATCATCAAGGACAGTTTGTTACTGAGTTTTGTATGACATTGACAGTGATAATGCCTTAAATATAATTTTATGAAAGAAAGAATTATTGAAAGTCTAGAAGCCAGTTATAGACAGATGTGTTCCAAGAGTGAATGTGATGGAATGTGTCATATCTAAGCTTTCAGCCAGATTTCAAAGAACTGGAAATGTTGGATGTCAACTTGGAAGTGGGTGGTAATATTTGACATTTTTCAGCATAACCACTATTTGATATTAATACTGCATTGAAACAAAAGAATATTTGGTAGTGACTCTCAGCAGAGCTGTCTATGACCACCAGTGTTAGAGTTTTATGACAAATTTCCTACAGCAGGCTTTAGGCAAATGGCCTTTTTGCAGACATTCAATTGATTCCTGTGTTCAGAAGAAGCCATTTTAGATGATGTCAAAACAGCAACATTAAACTTTGAATGAATGGGCAATGTTCTTTTCACTGATAAGTCTGAATAATCTACAGAACAATTCTCATTGGATTAGAATCTGGAGATTCTGATACAGTCCCATGAACATCCTGGAAAAAGACAGTTTGCAGGTGGTGGTATCATGGTTTGGAACAGCATTAATGCTTAATGGCCTCACTGTGATCCATATTTTTGTAAGAGGTGTTTTACTTCAAGGTAGAGAGACAAAGTTTTGAAACCCTGTTTGAGACTTTTCTGACATGCTGTGGGTATGCAGATTTCATTTTCATGAATGATATGGATGGAAGAATGCAGCTCTATGTATGCACTTGCATATACAGAGCTGCACTCTTCAATGGCTTTCTTGGCAGTGCAGATATTCTGTGTATAAAATAGCCTGCAAGATCAACAGGCTTAATTCTTATAGAACACGTGTGGAATGCTCTAAGTCAAAGGTTTATAAAATAGTTGACATCAACCCCAGGAGTTATAAAACATTTTCAGGAATTGAAAATTAGTCACACATCAATTGAAAACAGTTCATTAAAAATTATTAGTCCAATGGATTAATCCAATGTATATGACAGTTCAGGATGTTGTAAATTTTCACATTGTAAGCAGATGTTTTCTATGAAATGATATTTAAATTAATACTAACTCATCTGATTTATTTATTTATATATTATCATCATCAATTGCATTAGCAAAACACACAAGAGGGGTCAATAAAAGATTCAGAAATCATTGAATGGGTCAACAGTCAAAAAAAAATTTGAGAATCCCAGTACTAGGGAGATGAGTTTCATGCTGTCAGCTCTAAATCAAGAACGTTCTAGGAGCTTGAAGGTAATCATGTTCAAAAATGGTCTTTGTTTCTGACAGAGATGATAATCATTATGCAGCAAGTTTACTTGCAATAGGCAACTAATTATATTAATCATTTTCCCATATATTTTCCCATATTAATCATTTTCTTTACAAAAATGTTTACTAGATTTTCTTGTTGTTTTGGTTTGATGTAATTTAGACAAAATTTTTGCTTTTCAATTGTTTTATTTCATAAAGAATATAATATTCTGCTTGCATTATATTGTTAATGCTGTTCTTGTGATATAGCTCAAATTAATAGTTATGCTTATTTTTTGGACATGAATGTATATTATAATTTCCAAAAATTTTATAATCTGTCATAAATTATAATCATTTATAAATTTCATAAAGTATTCAACTAAGTAAATCAAATGATATATATAATACTGTATACATTGAAAATGAAATTTATGCCAATAAAACAACATACTTTATTCCTCTGTCAAATAATTCACAATTTCAAATATGTAATGATTCTTTCTTGGCTCCATTATTAATTAAGTCATAATGTAGGTAATTTCTTTGTATGGTTACTGCAATTTTTCATTTGAAAACTGCAATAACAGATACTATTATACAAAAAAACCATTTTAAAAAATTCTGTAAAAACTTTTATTTACTAAAGTTTTTGGCTGTATTTTACTAAACTTCTTCAGATGGAATACAGATTTGAATGAAGTTAATTAAGAATGAATGCAACAGTATTTCAAATATAACATTCTAGAATGTTATATTCCAGATTACAAATTGGGATGTTTAAAAATAAAAATAAATTATAATAAAACAGAAATAAGTTTTTATAAACCCTTCTAATCAGGATGTGCTGGACAGAATCCATGAGTTAAACTACATCATATCCCTTGGGATTTTAAGTCTAAGGTCATAAAATCTCAGTGATGGATTCCAACTCAGTGATAAATAGAAAGATACTTCAAAGGCTGAATACACAGTAGTTGATTATGCATCTCCACTCCATAACATCTTTTGGGAGATTAGCAGGACTATGTGCTGCAGAATTATTTATAAAAGAAACCTACAATTTTCAAAATCCTACATAATCCTACATGACTTACAGGTGTGAGGAGTGGGGCTATGCCGTCCTTAAGGTGCATATTCACCGGAAACTCCTCTCGGCCA